CATGAGTGGAATCTATTTATGAAACATCATCCACTGAGAACCCTGTGAGCACAGTTCTACTCTGACACACACGGGGGCACCATGAGTGGGATCTACTTATGAAACATCATCCACTGAGAACCCTGTGGAGCACAGTTCTACTCTGACACCCAGGGCCACCAAGAATTAAAGTTGATGCCATGGCCACAAGTTTGGTTAGATCTCTGGCATGACCTCAGTGCAGTGAGCACAGGACGAGATTCCATGTGGATTTCAGGGGACTTCAGAAAGCTCAGGGAAATTTCCATGATCTTTTCATTCCGTTTTCCATGAACTTTTTGAAGCTCCCCCTTGTATTGTCCCTGTGCCATTGTGTCCCCAACTACCCTAGTACTATCTATAATGTGGGTTTTGTGACCCAAGATCCTACCCAGTATCACACGCTGTTCCCCTTGTTCTAGACCATTCCCCAGCCTCTGGTCTTTGTGGCATGGACTCTGGTTTTCTTTTCCAGATTTTAAACACTTTTGTTTGGTGAGCATGTACCCAACAGGACATGCAGTAATTCCAGTGTCTGCGAATTCAGTTCAGTGACAGCAGCTTCACCTTTTCTCGAGACTCCTTATCACTAACACATATTCACAGCCCGGCTTCCCTAACCTTTCAAAAGAATTGTCAATTGCAATCTTCACAGACCTTTCTTTAAAAGAACAAGATGCTCAAGGCAGACAGACGTTAGTGTAATTTGAAGACTCCTCTGTTTAGGTTATCAGTCATCGCTTCCCTACTGGGGGCAGGAGTTGTGTGGAGGGACCAGGCTAACTTTGATGGTGGGATCACAGAGTGGGGGTGGGCGAATTGCAGGTTCCATCTCTATGCCTGTAGTTTTCTTGATGTGTGATTAAGAAGTGGTCAGTGCGAGTTGCCACCACTCATTAACAAGGAGGGTGCAGAATGGTGGTCTGGAGTGCCCTCTTTCCTCTGCAAGCATTCCCTGCCCCCCACCCCCCATCTGCAGTATATGGAATCCTCTGGATAGTTCCCCAGGCCCCTTGTTCGAGGCCACCCCTGGCTTTTTTTTTTTAAATAACTTTTTGTTGTGAATGGAGTGAAGGTTTACAGAACAGATTCAACAAATCACACTCTTCAGTTCATCTCAAAGATTGCAATTTATTCCATGTAACAACCAGTACCCTACTTCCTCCCTCCGGTTCTTATTACCTTCCCACTCCCTCCGAACTTGGTCCTTAAGCAGATGTTGCGCTTTGGCTTTTTATTATTATTATGTTTTATTGTGAATTATGTGATAGTTTACATGGGAGAACATTAGCTTTACATTCATCCTATCGTATATTGTTTCCTTGCCATGGTTACAATCCCCTCCATGCATCATCAACAACCAAAGGGTATATCCTGCAAGCCTGCCCCCCGATAGTCAGCACACAGCCCCTCTCTCTCTCTGGGTCTAAAGTCTCCAGCTGCTCCGTCTCTCCACGCCATCATCTCTGCCTCCATCTCAGGCATCACCGCTTCTCTGGGTAGGGTCCCTCTCTCCGCTCTTGTCCCTTGATGATGGTCCCAGGGACCTCCGCTCCTAGACTGCAAAGTCAGTCACTCCCCTCTTTGCAACAAAACGTCTTACATTTTCAACCCTCACAATCAGTCCTGATAACAATTATTCACTGCCCTTTTGATTCTGAATGGTTGATCATTCCAAGGTCATACATGGCCCACAGCTAGTATTATTGTCTCCTATATACCTGTCTAATGCTTACCTGAAAATTAACCATGAGGTGAAGTTCTGTCCCAGACCTGAAAGGTGGCCTCAGGTTCCTCTTGTCTTTTGTTATATAATTTTGAGTTTTGTTCCACATTGTCTCTGACTCTGTCCAGGATATTCTAATGGGATCCCTTTCAGAGCAGTTGGTAGTGATAGCTAGGCATCACCTAGTTTTGGTCTCAGAGCCGTGGAGACTCATGCTGATTCCAAGCATCTTCATTTCTCATTCTTCTTCTTCCTTCTGCCCATAGCCCAATTTAGACCTTAGGTAACTGCTCACAACTCCCATCTTTTGAGTCCTTCCTGGTTCACCTGGAACTTGCTGCCCCCACCCCCAGCTGTTTCCCAGCCTCTCATGGGGACACCTCTGATGTCCCTCTTCTGAGTGATTTTCACTCATTGTGTTTTCTTGCCCATCTCTAACCAGTGATGGCTCTCAAAGCTGAAGCCTGCCTGGGACACATGGAAGGAGAGGAATGGGGGGGGGGCATTTTGGCGGGAATGACCCATAGCACAGGGGGCTAAGTGGGCAGAGGGGTGGGCAGCAGGCTAGGTGGGGAGAGTCTGGGCCATGCTGGAGGCTGTAGGGCAGAGTCTGAAGGAGCAGAGAGGGTTCTCAGATGCCACCTCCAAACACAAAAGCCAGCAGAGCTGACCCTGGCAGAGATGGCAGACTCTGAACTGAGAGAGCAAGCTGATCTCAGTGGGAGGGAGGGGAGCCATGGGGTTCCCCCTCCCCTAGGAGAGCAATGCACACACCTTGCCCAGACTCTCGAGGCCAGCCGGAACAGAGCGGTCTGCTGGGGTTGTTCGATGGCCCTCCCCAAGTGGCCAGGCTGCCCCTAACCATATCCTTTCCCTCAACAGGCCCCAGGCCCAAGCCCAAAGCCAAGTGAAGTCAGCCTCGGACAAGACGTGCTGCCAAGGAGCCTCCGGGCCAGCAGCACTGGACCCAGGCGCCAGAACTCAGTGCCTTACCCAGCAACATGCCTGCTAGAACCTTCTAGAAGCTCTGTAACCAGGGCCCCAGCAGGCACCATCGATCGGCCTGACTCCTGCGGCTTCCTGGGTCCTGGGAGCTCCCTGCCTGCTCTCTGCATGTACTAGGCCCCCAGCTGTAGGGGTCAGGCGGCCCCCTGCCCAGGCCTCTCACATGGCTGCTCCACTCTGACTATGCTTGCCTGCCGCCCCTGGGAGACTCAACACCCCACTTCTGAGATAGGGTTCTCGGGCACAGGGTCCTCACTGGCTCTTCCCCCAGGAGTCTGGGAGCCAGGGAGAGCTGGCCACCCCTGCTCGCTGTCTCTCTGTGAGGACCCCAGTCCTACAGCCCAACTCCTCAGCTCAGCCGAAATGTGGCTTAATGCAGTTAGGTGGGTTGCGATGGGGGGTGGGGAGGGGTCCCAAGGCTATCTAGCAGTGTCCACAGCCTGGCTGGGGGACCCCAACTCGGCACACCGAGCCCCGGAGGTGGGAAGAGTCTGCCTTTACTGCCCCGCAACTAAGACTGCCCTACTCCTCAGTAGCCCCTGGCTGCCGCCGCCGCTCCCGCCACTAGAGGGCGCTAGATCGTGGTTCCTCTCAGGGCCTGGCCTGGGACGTGGAGAGGAGGACAGGGACTGGAGGGGTCCTTCAGAGAGCTGTGGGGGGTTCTGGCCCTCTCCTCTCTGCCTATGGACGGGTGGCTGCCCAAACCCCATCCCCTGCCCTCTCTAAGGGTATGCCCAGCCGGCACCTTCCCCAATAAAGAGCATGCCTGTCCTCGCCTTGTTCTGCCTGTCCACGTTGTGTTTTGAAGCTTTGGAAGGTCAACGTGAACAGAGGAGAGGGAGCTGTCCCTTCAGCAGCTGTGCTAATGGGTGGGGGTGGCCTTTGAGGTTGGGGACAGGAAGGCGAACCAGTTGGGTGAGTGCAGACAGAAAGATGCCCCTGTCCAGATTCAGCTCCCCCGGACCCTACCATAGTGGCCGAGCAGCCCCCATACCCTGGACTGTGTCCTTGGATCACATAGTGGTGGGGGCCAGAAGTTAGGGCAGGGGCAAGGAGAGCGGAGACAGTGGGTGGTGTCACTGAGGGTGATACCCCCACGGTATCACGTACATATCCCAGCTGAACCTTCTCATCCACCACCCCAAAGTGGTTGGGCTCTCTATTCTGATCCGCCAGCTCAGCTGTGGCCCTCGAACATCGATGAGTTTCTCCCACACCACCGTGACTATGGTTGAGGAAGCCCATGCCCTGCTGAGCAGCTTGAGACCCCTTTAGAGGCCCCCACTTCACTTGGAAACACACTGCTCTGGGATAACTACTCAGCTTTGCAGAAACCTTCACTCATTCATTCATTCACTCAAAATAACATTCATTCACTCACTAACACATTCATTCATTCATCCACTCACTAATACACTCATTCATTCATTCAGTGATTCATTCACCCACTCACTAACACTCACTCATTCACTCATTGATTTGCTCATTCATTCTCTCACTTATATACATGAATTCATACATTCACTCATGCCCAGACTCTGCATGTTCATTCACTCATTTACTCATTCATTCATCTATTCACTCACTCACTCATTCATTAATTCATTCACATACCCAACAAGCATTACTAAGTACTGGTGGCCTCTGGGGCCGGGGGCAATGCTTGGAACTCTAAAGAGATGGTGGGAGAAGGCAGGCATGCTCTACCTGGACCAGGCGTTCTAACCAGATAGCCGGTAAGCAGACCCCAGAAGCCGTGCCCGGCATGGGTTGGTCTACTGAGGTACAATTTACATGAAACACAGCCATTGTGAGTATACACCGAGGGAGCTGGGTCAAGTCAGCACATCCTGATTAGAGCACCTTCATCACCGCACAAGAAACACGTGTCTGTTTGCAGTTACCCCCACTTCCACCCCCAACCCCAGCCAGCACTGAGCAACGTTTCTCTGTGGACTGGCCTATCCGGGACATCTCATGAAGAAAGTAACCCTACAGTGTAAGGTCTGTTGTGCCTGGCTTCTCTCTCAACACAGGGCTTTCAAAATTCATCCATGTTGTAGCGTGTACCAGAATGTCTCTTGTGTTGTGGCTGGATAAGACACTATGTGGGTATATGAGGAGGAAAACAAAATGATCACTACAGTATTACTAACGATCCTTACATAGTGATTACTACTGTTATTGTTATTAAGTGCCACCAAGTCACCTCCGACTCAACAACCCTGTACAGGGTTCCCGAGGAGCAGCTGATGAGTTTGAACTGCCGACCTTGCAGCTCAAACCAACCTTGCGGTCCAGTACTTATCTTGGAAACACAGCCTTCAGAAGTGCAAAGACCTAGATGGTGGATTTGCTGAGAAACAAAAGCTTCACATTTCAATATATTTGTTTAATAAAGGTTTCTCTGATTTCATAGTAATACTATTGGCCTTACTTTTTTTCAGCCTTTCATCTGTTGAGAGGCAATTTTTGATTCTTGTGGAAAGCGTTGCAGTGAATGTTACACACAAGTTTCTGTGTGGACATCTGCTCTCATTTCTCAGGTAGATTCCTAAGAGAATGTCTTGGTTCTCTGGTGCTGCAAAAGCAGAAATACCAAACGTGGCTGACTTTCAGAAACAGACTGATTTCCTCCCCGTTTAGGAGGCTGGAGGTCTCAACTCAGGGCACCATCTCCTTCCAACATCTGTAGGCCTGGTATGTCCCTGTGTCGTGACTGCTCTTCTCTGGGCCTGGGAAGTTCTCAGCGCAGGGACCCTGGGACCAAAGGACAGGTCCGCTCCCACCTCTTCCTTCTTGGTGGTAGTGTGGTCCCTCTTCTCTGTTTGCTTCTTATGCAGCGCTGGAGGATAAGCACCAGGCTGCTCATCACCAGGTCAGCGGTTCAAACCCACCAGTTGCTCCTTGGAAACCCTTCACAGGGTCGCTGAGTCAGAACCGACTTGATGGCACTTCACAACCAGCTGAGAGGTGTGACTCAGGAATCTAGTCCATCAGGTCGATCCCTGCAGGACGGAGTAGACCAGCTCCTGAGTGTCCGAGGCTGTACGTCTTTACACGAACAGACAGCCTCGTCTTCCTCACATGGAGCAGCTGTTGGGTTTGAACTACCAACCTTGCAGTTAGCAGCCCAGCGCTTAACCTGCTATGTCACCAGGGTTTTTTCCTAGCAAACCCACTGCCATTGAGTTGGTCCAGCTTGCAGCGCCCCACACAGGGTTCCTGAGATTGTACACCCTTGTGGAGGCAGACTGCCGTCTCCCTCGGTGGGTTTGAATCACCAACCTTGCAGCTAGCACCCTCATGCCTAATCCACAACACGGCCAGGGCTCCTTCTTTAGCGTACAAAAATTAGGAGTCACAATACATCGCAAAGCAGGGGATAGCCACACAACCTGGGAGTCATCGTCCGGCCAAGTTGGCACATATTTTGTTGGTAAGTGCCTGAGTTGGTTCCAACTCATAGCGACCCTGTACCAGGTTTCTGAAGAATGACTGGTAGGTTTGAACTGCTCATCCTGTGGTTAGCCATCCCATGCTTACTCTACCAGGACTCCGTGACAACATGGAATATTGGGCTAAGCAGGGTCAGTATGAGTTGGAACTGGCACGGAGGCAGTGGGCAGTAGAGCAGTATGGTCAGTTTATGATGTTTTAAGAACTGATTTTCCAAAGTGGCTGTGCCATCTACATCCTTACCAATGCTAGAAGGTGCTCCGGCAGTGTAGTGGTTACAAGTCAGGCTGTTAACCTCAGCTGTTCCACGGGAAAAACATGAGACTTTCTGGGCCCGTAAAGATTTATAGCCTCAGAAACCTTATTCAGTCAGGGTCGCTGAGTTGGAACTGACTCCAAGGCACACCACCACCACCACCACCAGTGCTATGGGAGTTCTGGGGTGGCACTGTGCTAACCGGGAAGTTGATGGTTCAAGTTCACCAGCTGCTCATTGGAAACCCTATAAAGGGTCACTGTGAGTCGGAACCGACTAGAGGGCACGTTACACCACCACCACCAGTGCTATGGTTTTTAAGTGACACGGCTCAACCTCTCCCCCCCCATCTTGCCCCCCCACAACCCTAAAAATTAAATGGAGTGAGACACACCAGGGAAGGTCGCTTGGCCCTGCTCTTGGGCCTCAGGAGTCCACAGGTCACTTGTGCAGCTAAAGAACAATCTGGAATGAAGGCAGAGTGAGAACATCAATGGTGGAAACTCATCTCTGTTCAGAGTTGGAGCATATCAGGGTGTCTTGGTGGGTCACAATGGACAACACCCACAGCAAGCTGTGGACCATGGAGGCCCGGGAGACTGTATAGCTTTGTCTAACAACAGAGATGGCGAGCTTGGTGATACTGTGCTGCCCACGCTATGGTGGAGCAATCTAATTCAGGCTGGACCTTGTGACCAGCCGGACATAGCTGCTGGGTCTGGGCACGGCTGTTTATAGCCGAGCTCCTGACACCCTGCTGACAACTTGATATTTCTATTCGGGAGGTGGCGCGGCAGTACCCACGCCAGTTCCAACCCCATGGCAGTGGGTAAGGGTCTCAGCTGGTCTTCCCCGAAAGGAGGGCCTTCAGAACGGCCCAGGTGGATGGCTGATGTGAACCCACACTGGCTCTGGGTCAGAGTTCTGTCTTGAGGTCCCAGCACTTCTGCAATGAGAGCCCCTCTGGGACTGAACGAAGGCATTCCTGTTCCTAGGGGCTATGGAGACCCCCTACAGTGGGTGGGACAGGAGGGAGGTCTGGTGTGGAACTACTGGGAGATGTTGGTCCTGGGATGGCGCCTTTTCTACAGACCCCCCGGCGCTGAGAGCCCACAGCGCGCCCAGGCTAGACGGGCGGCTGGGCAGCTACGCCCTGGACACAGGGTGGATCTCGCTGTTCTCTACGATGGCGCTCCGCGGGTGTTCCCTGCAGCCACCAGGGGGCGGGCCCACGGAGATCGGGGATTCACTTGAGGCAGGTGCGAGCCAGGCGCGAACAGGCCCGGCAGGTGAGCCGGAAGACGCAGCTCCTTGCCCTAGGGGGCCCCCCTTCTACAGATTCCAGACCCGGAAATCGAAATCGGTCATGGCTGGAGCCGCGGTCGGGAGTCGGGCGCACACGGCGCGGCTTTCCTGCTGACGTGTGCAGGTGGGCCCCAGTAGCCTCGTGGGCGCCCCCAGCCCGACCCAGGCCGCTCCCTACAGCGCTGTCCGTTCGTCCGTCCGTCCGCGCGGCGCTCGGCGGGTGGCGGGAGGGGCGGGACCTCGGCAGCGGCGAGGTCACCGGCACGTCACTGGCCCGCCCTCGGCCCGCGCCCCGCCCCGGCCGGCTGCATTTAATGGCGCGGGCGACGGACTCGGCGGGCTCTCTGGGCGGCCCGGCACCGAGCGAGCGATCATGTCGGGAACCCGCGCCTCCAACGACCGGCCCCTCGGCGCGGGCGGCGTCAAGCGGGGACGGCTGCAGCAAGAGGTGGCGTCGACCGGCTCCCGCGTGACCGTAGTGCTGGGTGCGCAGTGGGGGGACGAGGGTAAAGGCAAGGTGGTGGACCTGCTGGCCACGGACGCCGACATCATCAGCCGCTGCCAGGTGGGGCCGGGCGCCCGGGCTCCCCACGCCGCCCCTCCCCTCCCACCCGACGGGCCTCCCTCCCTCCTGGGCCCTGAGAACCCCGGGGTCCCCTTTTAGAGCAGCCCCCCCCCACCTCACTCACGCACACCGACACGCACGCCCACACCCTCCCTGCACTCTCCACCCGGCTCTCTAAGTCCCAGGGAGAGGCTCCTCCCCTCCCCAGAACCCCTCACCCCGCCCCCCACTGCTGCTGTCCCTCCCCCACCCCGACTCCCAGAAACCCGCCTCTCCCCGACACACACACTTCCCCAGGGCAGTGGGCTTAGGGCTGAGCTATAAATACAAGCCGCTGAGGTGGGGACACTGGATCCCAGGGGGGGTGGGATGAACCCTGGGCTCTGACGCAGGAAGCCCACCTCCCCCCTCATTCTGTGGGGATTTCCCTGGCAAAACCCAGGCCTCAGAGGGGTCAGCCTAGAGGAGAAGGGCAGGGCAGGAAGACCGTTGGGGGAGGAGGAGCCTGGCTGGCCGGGTGACTCAGTGCGGGTGGAGGCCGTCACAAGCATTGTCCCCTGAGGGCACAGGGCTGGCTGCTGTCCCCGGGGCCCTGTGAGACCGTGTGCCAGACTGCTCCAGCCTGCTGCCTGTGGGCTGGGTTACATTGCAGTGTACAAAGGACTCAGCTCCTAGTGCATACGTGCATGGGCACCCCTGGCTTGGAACCCTGCTGCCAAGAATGGGGACCAAGCGGCAGGCATGGGTGGGTGGTGCTTGTCACTTCCCCTGGCTCCGGAAAGGAGGGCCAGGGCTCAGAGACAGCTCCCACTCCCACCTTGCCCACGCCACCCAGCCACAATTCCCAAAGGTCTTGTCCTCTGTCTCTGCCCTCAGCCACACCAAAGGAGGCCCTTGGCTCCCTGCTCCTCCACACCTCAGGTTCCTCCACGCTGCAGGTGCCTCACAGCAGAGCCTTCCTCCTAGTGACTTCATGGTTTCCATCTGTGATGCCATCCTGTTACAGAACAGACTTGCCACCAGTCAGCTGCCACTCACCCCCCTGCCCCCCACCAGGGACAGAACCCCTTCTCTCAGACACCGTCTCCCACCCAGCCCGCTCCCACTGACAGGGGCCCCTGGCTTCCGGCTCAGCTCTGCTGGGAGGCGGGTGGTCCCAGCCGGCTTCTACATATACAGAAGCACAGAAACAGGCTTAGAGTGGAGGCAGGGGGCTAGCTAACACATGCTCATCTCAGCATCCCCAACTCCAGGGAGACAACCTCCACCGCACCCCGTGTGTCCTCCTTAGCAGGGGGCTTGCGCTCACCACCAGCTTCCTGGTACGTGCCAGACTGCCCTGTCTCTTGGTAACGGGGTGTACACTAAAGCCAGAAGAGGAAGAGTCAGCAGGGCCTCGGGGTCGTAGATGGGGGACCAAGGAGGGCCATGCAGGGCACAGAGCAGGCTGGAGGCCAAGTCTGTGTGAAGTGTAAGTGGCTGGGGCTGATGGGGCTGCGGTTAGGCCAGCCCACATGCCAGTCCCCTCAGCCCCGGAGGGTCACCCATTCTTGGAGCCATCCTGAGTGGCATCCCCACCCCCATGGCAGCTTCTCTGCCCTCCCCTCCCCATCTGGGACCCTCAACTATGTACCCTGTTAATCCTCTGCTCTAGCTGGCCTCCCTGCTTCAGGTGAACTTTGTAAGGCCGGCTAGTGACCTTTGTCCAGCCTGGGCTCTGACTCCTTGTTCCTACCCAGAGGCATCAGGGGCCAGCTCCACCTGGGGGCAGCCTTTGTCCCTGTACAGCAGGCTTATCTCTCCTCCACCCAGTCACTGGGGTTATAATGTGCCCCCGGGCTCCACCTCCCTGGCCTGCCAGAGCTCCCGACCTGCACCTTTCTTGGCCTCCAGCACTACATCCTGGGGCCAGCCTCTTGTCTCCTCACAGAGCCCATCTGCCTGTGTGTAAAACCCCCATGTCTCCCCCATAGCCTGGGGCCTGTGGGGCCGGCTCCAGAGCATCCCTCTCTCACCATGCCTTGTCCGCAGTTCACAGCCTGCCTCACGTAACCTGTCTTCTGTCAGGTCCATGTGGCCTTGGTTCTGCCCAATGTGCCCACCCCACTGTACACCCCAGGAGCCCAGGGAACCTCACTCTACTGCCCACCTCCTCCCGAGGCCCTCTGCTGTGTCAGACTGTCCTTCCCTGCCTTGTCCAGCTGTTCCATCCCTGCCCCTCAGACAGATGTGGAAGAGCCTCCTTCACTGGCCCATTGACCCTTCAGCCTGCTCCCAGCCTGCGCCACCTCTGCTGCCACGTTTAGCCAACTGCTGCCACCAAGTCCACCTGACTCATAGCAGCCCATGGGTGCCAGAGCAAAGTTACGTGGGGACGGAGATGCTTAGGCCTTTCCTCTAAAACATCTGTCACCTGTGACCGGAGAGGTTTGGGGGTCCTGCCCCAGCTGCCAGGGTAACGTGGAGGATATGGAAACAGCTCCTTGGAGGTGCAGTGCAGACAGAGCATTCTGTCTGTCCAACTGCACGTGCTGATGGCTTTGTCTGGTTCCAATGCCACACTGTCTAGCTGAGAACACTCTGGGCACGGACAGCCTGTGGCCAGAGCCATGACGGATATAAGTATTGACCCCAGAGGCCAGGCTAGGCTGATGTGCTGAGGGGACACACCCAGGAGAGTATGGGACATGTGACACTGCCCACTTGGGGCTATCTGGGGACCTGCCATGTGTTTGATGACCCTGGTTGGGTAGCACCAGATCAGAGCTTCCAGGCAGCCTCCATGAAGCACAGGGGCACTGTGTGGTTGGAGTGGTCCAGAGCCGTGTGGGAACCCCGTGGAGTGGGGCTCTGAGGAGTCACGTGGGCGGGGAGATTGAGCAGGGCTGGGGGACAGACTCTGGAAGATCAGAGGGAACCAGGGAAAGGTGACGGGGACAAAGAGCCACCTACCAAGGGCTCCGTGAGGAGGAGGAGGCAGGGAGTCTGCAGATCGGACAAGCCCAGGAGGGGAGCACAGGTCTGAATGTGGAGGGCCTGTGGGTACACACCTGTCTACACCCAGGAGTGCACATGCACACATACAAATCTGAGCAAATTGCACAATCGACATGTGCACGCACATATGAGCACATAGGATACACATGAGCACACATGTCCATGCACCTGAGGACTCCTGTACAATCTTCATATAGGAGCATGAGTCTATATATATATATACACATAAGCACATTGCACTTATCTATGTATACACATATGCCCACATTATGCACATATATATGTGCACACACCTACATACATGTGTGGGCACACATACATGTGAGCACATTGCATTTATCTAGATATATACTCCTGCATACATGTGCCCAGGTACATATATAAGCACATATCTGCATACATGTGGGCACACATACAAACACATGAGCACACATACACATGAGCTCGTTGCACCATGTATCCACTTGAGCACACATGTGCCCACATACACATGTGAGTGTTCAAGCATACATCTACATATGCATACATACACATGCATAAATATGAGCGCATGTGACTATCCATGTAGGCACATATACACACACAGCACAATGCATGTGTATG